CTGTCCACAACCATCAGAAGGTTGCTGGTTACTTATAAACTTCAGATTCGAAACAGCCCTAGTAAAAGTATACGTATCTCCCTATAACTGGTACAACATGCAGAGAATTAAACAAAGACGGCAATTAATATCACACACGCTTCATAAACCAACCATAGAAGCTGTGAAATAGTAATACATTTATTCCGTTCAGTTGCTCGTTCTGTGACGCGGTGTCGTGTGTTTACGTGCAAAGTATTAATTGTTGAAAGTGATTTCGGAAGTCAATATTAAAGATAAACATGAATGGGTAAGTCATAAATACTTTTCTATTAATATAAAATATATTAGATGACGATTTGTACATAAATTGTTCCATTTTATCAAACATTGCTTGCCATTTCGACCGCCATGTTGAAACCATGATCGTATTAACTTCAATTGTTTTAAATTAAAAGTACAATTGTGAATGGTAAACATTGTCTTAATATCGTTAACATACTTATTTACAAACATAACAATAATTACAATTGTATAGTTTCTATTAAATATTTCATAAAACTAAAAATAACAAATTGCTTAAATCTCTCGTCCACCTGGCGGTTGTGGACAGACATGGGTCGTAAAGTTATTCACATGAAATCCGCCATCTTAGAGAGCAGGTTGTATAGTATGGATACGATTTTGGGAATGCCAGTGTTGGTATATTTTTACGATAATTTTTGGTGTGGATTTTTATTTGTTTCGTTTTATTTTTTTGTCAATAAATTGTTTTACTTTTTGTATGTGCATGTCATTATATTTTTTTGCACTTGATTGACAAGTGAAACACTCTTTGTTTTCACTCTTAGCCCAAGGTTATCTGGAAGAGATTGCTTTTTGTACGTAGTAGTTTTTATTGCTAAGCAATAATCCTTAGCTCGTTGCGGTGCTATAGTTGGAATAGCCTCAAAGTACGAAACGGTCACCCATCCAGTTGCAAGCTAACGCGTGCATTGCTTAAACTTTATTATGGATCTCGCACGCAAGCTATCACTAGGCTAGGGTCACTTCAAATTAAGTAAAATTAAAAAAAAATCTAAATAACAAAAATATAAATCTTTATTTTGGCAAAAAGAATTGTCAAACATTTTTTTATAATAACATTCAAATGTTAATTAAAAATATAAAAAGCAAAGAAAAATAACTAATTTGTATTTCATTTTAATTTTATGTTCATGATTACAATTATTAAAGAAGTCACCACAGAAAGTATCCATACTAGCATAGCTGGGTACTACGTCATACTTGGTGCTTTTTGTAGTGAATGTGTAACTTTTAGTTGATGATTTCTAACATAATTTTGTATAAAAGATGCCTTATTTGTTTTGTTTTTAACTTAGGAAATGTTATTATATTTAGGAATGTACATTCACATGTAAATAAATTACAAAATTGTTCGTTACAAATGCAAAAGTTTGAAAGCATTTTTTTAGGGTCACTTTTTCAAGTGTTTGTTACAACTCGTTCATTTCTTAATAACTGAATAGTTGTAATATTTGAAACTGTTTATATTAAGAACAAAGACCAAACTATAGCATAAGTTAAGATTTATAGCCCATTGTGCCTCAGGTGTCGTCGATATTGAAGTACAAAATGTGCCTTTTTTTGTGCCTGTTTCGGGTCATCTTAAGTGGCCCACATTATTGTAGAGCTTGTGGTGTGAAAAAACTGTACGTAGAGTTGTGTTTTTTTTATTCATTATTGTAAAGTGTGTTATCGTATAGTAAATGAAGTAAATATTTATTGAAATAATTGCTTAATTTTTTAATGATTACATTTTATATTCAACAAACTAGAAAAAAATCGCTTCTAGCAATTTTACCACCAAATTTATAACATACCAAAAGGGTGAACGTACACATTTACACATATTCTATTAGCTTATTTAACAATAATTCTATCAACATATCATATTATATAGTTCCCATACATAAATATTAAGATATTGCCATTTTAATGACACGCGCCACGTAGGCAATATAACACTCGTTTAGGGTTTGACAGATGCGCCAAAGCGGCTATTTTGGCCCGGACTGCTGATAGGATAAGTGTGAAAGAGTTTCATCTACATTTATTTTAATATCGCTTGTCACGTGACCTGAGAAGATCAGAACGATATCGTCGGCGAAGGCTTGGCAATACACTCCACGCTCTTCTAGTTCATTTAGCAACGGATCCAATAGCAAATTCCAAAATATGGGACCACCAATCGAGCCTTGAATGCACCCTTTTGTATTATATTTTGTAAATTCTTCGTTCGCATATCTAACTGTAACTTTCCTATCTGTAAAATAACTATTTACTAATCTACGTAGATTCACAGGACACTTTATCTCCATCAGTCTATTTTTAATAGCAGGCCACCACGCGCTGTCGAAGGCCCCCTCTATGTCTAAGGATATTACAATACTTATTTCCTTATTTCTCAGATTGTTCTTGATGTGTAATATCAAGTCATAGAGGGAGTCCTCCGTACAGCGCTGTGGGACGAACCCATACTGACGGGGATTTAATTTTGGCAAAATGTAATATTTTAGTCTTCTCACCATCATCTTTTCTAGGATCTTACCCATGACAGAGAGGAGCCCTATCGGCCTATATGATTTCGCGAGAGAGTAATCCGTTTTTCCCGGTTTTCTAAGTGCTAACACAGTAGCTTCCTTCCATGGATCCGGAAAGTATGATAATTCTAAGCACTTGTTCAACAAGGCTAAGAATATCTGCTTATCAACGTTTATCGCCGCGGCACAGATGTCCGCTGTGAGGCCATCTGAACCTGGCGCCTTCCTTGGATGGAAGCTGCTGGTAGCAAATTGTAATTCGGTTGCTGTAAATGGAACATCCCAAATATCATCTGTAGTTTGAGTGCACATTCTGTTAGCTTTCATTCGTGTATGATATTGTTCTGGTATTTCGTTTTCCAAATTGTCATCGAGGAAAAATGTTTCCGCCATATGTTTCACTGATTCCTCTGCATCCAACGATTTACCTTCCCTAATTAACAGTATGTCCTCGTGTCTTTTTGATGTTTTCCTGATTACTCTATAGATCCCGTCCCATAGACTTTCCCTATCCTGCTTACCGCAAAACTTTTTCCAACTGTTGATTTGTGCTTGTGCTACTTCTTCTTCATATTTATTTTTTATCTCCAAATATTGTTCTACTACGTAGCGCCGACGGCGAGAGGCAGCATACGATATTCTTCTTTTCTTCACTGTCATTTCTTTTTTTTAACTTATTAAGCTCTTCTGTCCACCACGGTATAGTAATTTTATTTCTAGTTTTAATTTTTGGGATATTCGAATCACTTGCTTCCTTAACACATTCTATATATGTATTAATTGTAGTTTTTAGTTTTTCCTTTGATTTTAGTTCTGTTATCTCTTCTTCACTAATATTTTTCATTTTAAGTGTTTCACATAGTTTATTTTTAAAATCTGTCCATTTCGCCCTTTTAGTATTATATATTCTAGTACTTTTAAAATTATTATTTTCCGTAGGTTTTAACAATGCTAGTTTAAATGTTATACAGTTGTGGTCAGAACTTATAATAGCTTTATTTACTCTCCAATCCTTCACTTTACTTAATAAATTTTCGCTACTGATTGTTACGTCTACTATACTCTGATAGATATTCCCACCCCTAATAGTATCAAATGTGGGTTCATTTCCTTCATTTAATATGTGCATACCTGTATCCTCTATCATTCCTGCCAATTCCTCTCCCCTATGATCTTCCCTAGCACTTCCCCACCACGTACTCCATGCATTGAAATCACCTCCTATTAGTACGTATTTTGTTTTTAGTTTTTCAATGATAGTTTTCAGTTGTGCGAGATAGGGTTCGATAGGTAAACTGTCCTCAAAATAGACCGATATGACTCCTAATTCCCACTTATTCGTTTTTAATTGAGCCACTGCTATATTCTCCGTTACGAGTGTTGGATCCTCCATGACATTAATATTTTGATCAAAAACTATTACTGCTGCCTTTACAGGTTTAGTTCTGTTTCTTGTACACTGAATTACTTTTGTCCCTTTTTCTTGTTTAAGTTCCCCTAATGCTCCAATATATGGTTCCTGTACCAAAGCGATATTAATTTTTCTTTGTTCTGCTTCTATCATTAACTCTTTAGTTGCTAATTTCTTCCTCTGGAGATTTGCTTGTATAATACGGTAGTCCTGTGGATTTCTTAATGATTCTTCATCACTGGTGGTCCCATAATTCGTTGTATCGATTTCAGCAATACGCTACACTCGATCTCGCGATCGCGTCCCATTTCCTTCGGATAGGGCAACTGTCGTCAAATGCATTGTGGTCTGCCCTTTCGCTTTTTGCGTGCAAACAATTGCGACATGTCGGTGGTTCTTTTACTGCCCATAATGGACAGTCGTCCTTAACATGGGGTCCGGCACAATGGCTGCATAAATCCTGTGTCTCTTTACAGAATTTCTTTCCGTGACCGTACCCCAGACACCGCGTACACTGTACCAACGGTGATTGGTCTCTTACTATTACACGTTGCAAGTCAATGTGGACTTTTTCCACTGTTGTCAGTCTCTGCCACACTTTTGGGGATACTTGAATTACAACATGATTAATATGCGGATTCCTAGCTTTTTTCCGATATTTAATTGCTGCTCTGTATTGATCATCTGGTATATCGGATAGGAGTTGCTTATTCTGGTTTTTCAGAGCTGCTAGAATATCTTCGTCTTTATTTAAAGATAGAACATCTCTCATAATTATCAGAGGGTCTTTATTCTCGACTTCTTGTACTAGCAATTTTGAGGATGCTCTTTTGATTCTTTCCGCAATTTTTTGAACTTCGTCATGTGTCTGGCATCCCACTATTACCTTTTTGATCCCTGGCCTTCCGTAGTTTATCCACTCTCAACCCAGTGATTTTAGCGTCAATTGCTGTTCTAATTTTATTTATTATATCTCCGCTAGTGTCTTGTTCTTCTTCAGACGATACCAGAACTGAGTGCATTGGAGCCATCATTTTACTGTTTATTTTGGCCTTAGGTCGACCAGCTATGCTGGCATATGTGGGTTCATTTGTTTCGCTTATAACCAAAGACTCTCGAAGTCCACCCATTTGGTCTTTTAGGGATGATAATTCTTCTTTTATTTCCATCAGTTCCCTTCTGGTATCCTCCGATTTGCCCATAAAAGTATGTTTATCCAATATGGTGTCATTGCCCATCGTGTGCTTCAATGAGTCCGTTAGGGTTCTCATATCACTCACTGTTTCGGTGAGAGCAGACTGAATATCTCTTATACTACCCTGATCCATTAGTGCTCTAAGGCTCTCTACATACTGTTTTTCTTGCCTAAGTAGATCGTCTTTAAGTTGTATACGAGCTTTCTCCAATTGTAGGAGTAGAGTCTGCCTTTCTTCGTTTAACTGTAATACGATTCCAAAGAGTTCAGAAAGGTTATTTACCACCGTCTCTTTTATGGAAGTCTTTAAGTTTCCAGACTGCTCTAGCTGCAACTTAGCGTCCTGATATAATCTATTGGCCTTAGACATCGCTGTTACAGCTATTTCTAGTACATCGGATTTCCGAGTGTGTATTTCTTTTGGTTTCTCTTTGGTTGCAATATTCTGTAAAGTGGGACGTTTCCGCTGCTCTTCGGACCTATTTACGTTACCTGGCACTGAACTCATTTTAATTTTTTGTAAATAAGAGACTTTTGTAAATTTATATATATGAATCTACCTTAGTAATGAAAACAGGGTGGGTGGGAGGTCGAAATTTTGCTAATTTCTACGTTTATTGTTGCAGATTTTGGCTGATACGGCGGTTGTGGAGTAAGGTGGACCTGATAGGAGCAAAAACGGAAGAGATTTGTAAAATTTTAATATAGACGAAAAATTTTGATATATTACGTTTCTCAAAAACAATAATTTTTAATTTAAATTAGAAATATCGCCCGAAATGGCTTGAAAACACAGTAAACTAATAAGACTAAACTAATTAAATATTTCAGGGCAGCCAGGGAATTTTTACAATGTTTTTATGCAAAGTTATAATTCATCATAATTCATCCCCCAGAGACTAAGTCGATATGTCAACTTAGGGGTAGGGGGTTGAAATTCAGTCCAAATGATCCGGTGGGGGTCGAAGACTATCCGGCTTCTGGATAGTGTGGGGGGGTGACGGGGGGGGGCGAAGGAAAATTTTGTCAGAATTGAGCTAGGAGGCTCCGTTTTCCTGTAAACTGAAAACACAGTTAAAATGTAGTTTTCAGAACCTCCCAGCTCTTACAATAAATTTAATATCTCAAAAACGTATTGTCTGAAAATTCTGAAAAAATTTGGGTATATAGTACCTTAATTGCCTGTTTATAAAATATATTTAAAAAAATTTTTGTCCTGAAAATTTTTTGTGTTTTTGAAATTTTAAAATTGGGTTATGAGAACCAAAAACTGCAAATAGCCTGTAATTCATAGATTTTTGCAGGAAAAATTTTGAAAAAATTTTTGAATGTTGTCAATAGGTATACAAAATTTTGAGTAATATTTTCAGGACTTTCAGTAATGTCCTTCAGCCACCACGTGTTTACAGTAAAAATTTTTAAGGTCTCAAAATATTATTATTTACACTCCGAAAATTAAAATTTTTATGTCTATCGTTAGGTCTTATGTTCCTTATTCACATAAAGTCTAATAAAATATAGGTCACCACTGAAAAATTTGAGTTATTCACCTATCAAGCTCCCGGCTGAAAACTCGTGTCTTTGAAGCGCGATAACTTTTGTGTTTCTTGTCCGATTTCTATGGATGAGATGTCAAATGTTTTGCCGCAGTGCCCTCTTCCGAATCGCGACTTCAGAAATAGCCGCGCGGCTTCCAAACAAAAAACACGTGTCCACGTGGTTTTTTGTTTTCCGAAAATATTTCGGAAAGTGTTTGTCGAAAAATCCGATTATTATGGTATTCGCTTAAGCTTATCACAGCACGTCTTTCAGCACTATAAAAATGATATGTCGTCGATCTCAATCGAGCTACGTTTCAGTTTGAATTTTTTGTAGGTTAGAAAAACAGTTTTTCTGTCCTAATTTTTAATTCTAAACTCTTTTTCCACTTTCAACTATATCACGGGCTTCGTCTCGTCGAGACGCGTCGTTTGGTATATATCACTTTAAAATT